AGGAGGAGAACAAATAAGAAATCTATGAAGCAAAGCAGCATTAAATCAATGAGCCGACACGCCTGCTGCAAAGATAAACACAGCGGACGGAGTCTTTTCTCTCCGTCATTAGCCTGGTCTGCTTTTCGGATCTGGAAAACCCAGGGGGACTCATTAGGGGTGAAGCAGAAGTTCTGGCTGGATTTACGAAGCATCTGTCTGTCTCTCTCCCAGGCCGGCTGGGTACGCACAACCTCCTGGTTTAGGTTAAACTGGAGGTGAGGGGTGGCGGCATGGATCTGCATGCTGGGGGAATGGCTTAGGAGCTTTAGAGAAGCAGGCCATTAGGGGAAGGTATCCTATGGATCCAGCATTTGGGCTTTGTTAACCTGGGTTGAGGGTTGAGAGTATTGTGTGAATCTGTAGTGGGAAGGGAGAATGGCCTTGAGGAACAGGAGGAACAGCTGCAACCAAGACAACAGTCAGATAAAAGAAACCTGAGTCTGGGGCAGAACTGTAACCCGAGAAAGCGTCTCAGACAAAACCCTCCCTGGTTCTCATGAAGATAAAGTGGGGGAAGGAGGGAAGCACATTCCGACTTGCAAGATTTTGTTACCTTAACTTTCTAATAAAAATAACATTGGCCTGCATGATTTTGGTTTCCTAGTCTGGTCTACCTTGAAGGGCTGACAGAGTCAAACTGCTTTCTCACGCACATTCCAATTCCCAACTCATCCCGTCTGCGGCTGAAAGGTTGAGTTACCCACTGGATCTGGAAATCTTTTAATGTACTAGAAGAGGTGGGGAGAAAGAATCGGGGTCAAATCATCTGTTAGCCTGTTTCGACTTCTCCAGGAGAGGACTTGGAAGATGATGTGCTATCAAGTGATTGTTGACTCTTAGTGACCACATAGATAGATTTTCTACTTGACGATCTCTCCCTAACCTCGTCCTTCAGGTCTTCCCATGGTGCCCCCATCACTACTGTAACTGAGGGAGCAGGATTAAGAGTAAAAAACAAAACAATAAAATAAGATAAAACCAACCTCCCTC